ACTCCTGCCAAAACAGTTCATATTTTAAATAGCATAGTGTGGTCAGCCCAGAATTCAGTGCAATCTTGATCTACCAATGACTTTGCATATAAAATTTTGTGACAATACTGAAAGATATTTCCCAGTTCTTTTAACCAGGAACTCAGAGAGACGAGGCGGACCACTTGGATATAAAAAATAACCATGCTGGTTTATTCAAAAGATCACAGGTAAAATTAACATTACACGTCCAGGTATCTTCACCTCCAATACTGCACGCAGGCAGACTGAGAATGAAAGACCCTGAACCACAATAGGCCTATACATTTATCTGGTTTGGGCTAACCCCATTCTACACAGGCACGTCAAACTGTGGCGTCACCTGATATGCCAGCTTTACAGCTGACCATAGCAGTAGTCAAAACATGGAGAAAATCAATGTGTGTGAGTGTTGATTATGTGGTGTGTATCTAAGAACATACAGGACATTCAGAGACATGTCCGGACATTAAGCCTAGGAAGATATTATGATTAAGATTACGGCTAAACATATCATAATACTAACAATAATCATCCTGCCTGCTGACAGTCAAACTTTTCTATCTAGTTGTCCTTGGCCATATGCACCCTGCAAGAAACTCATGAGAATGACTAAGCATTTAACAGCCTGAGCTAGACAGCCTGTCTCCACTAAACATTTCTAATACAACAAGTATCTAACCAATGTCTAGCTGACTAAAAAATTACCTAACAATACAAAATCCTTTAGATGGTGAAAATAAATTGCCAGGAAGCAACATGAACAAGTTGTCTTCACTGTTCTTTGAAAAGAAAGCTGACTCTTTATCATTATATAACTGTTCATTTTTGGGAGAAAGGCCAACTAATGCAGTGAGCTGTGGCCTCATTACCAGCAGGAGGTGAGCTCAATTCAGGGACAGAATTGTTTTGTATGCACATCCCAAACAGCCTGAAAGCAAACTCCAAAATTCCCCATTAAACAAAGGCAACTGTGCAGCAGGGCCACACTGTAGCGTCTGAGCCTTAAGAGCTCTTATCTGCATATGAATAGTTGGCAAGATATACTCATTAGCATTTTAATGGGTTACAATGGAAAACATAAATAAACAAACAGACCTACTGGATAAATTCTGTATGCATTAAATATAAAGACAGCCATTTTAAACCTCTGAAGAGGCTGAGCATATGACAAAGGCTGTAAACCAGTGGGACTCAAGCCACCAGCAGATTATGTCTTAATCATTTGCAATGGAAATACAAACCTTTGAACCTTTGTCTTTCTATGTTGTCTGCGCTGCCCACCACACACCTCTCAGATGTATCAGTTCTGCCTGGAGACTGGGCAACCAAATGCACATCACATAACCCACAAAAGAGAGCAAAGCTATAATGAGCACTGCAGGTGCAGTGGGGAAGAGACTTGTCGCTGCAAAGTGAAAACACGGTCCATTTAAGTCACCAACCACAAGGGAAACTAGATAAGAGAGCGTACATGGATCAGCATAGTGAAATCTCATCTTGCTTGTGCGCTGGTACCAAACAGCAGATACTTGATCTGATATGTAGATTTCACTTGTGGGGAAAAAAATGTAGTACTCATAGTAGGCCACATCTGTGACCATTAGCAGTATGTTTTCAACCTTGAGCTCTGCTTCCCTTAGTTAATCATCTTATCACACACATGTGTGTAATACAGGTGTGTGCAATGTCCCCTGCAGTGATGTTTCCATCACTTCAGGTAACATTACACTGACTTACATTCCTAGAAGGTTACCCTAACCTTAAGCATAACCACTACCTGCCTAATAATTGCCTACTTGCCTTTTTGTCCCCAGATTTAAACAGATTTACATCTCCACACCACGAGTAATACAAGGCCACACACACACACATATGCACATGCATGAGTAACAGTTAAAAACGAGAGTGGAAGAATAGAGAAGGGATTTTTTTTTAAAAAGCAATCACAAGGGAATTAAATGTCAGGTTTTCTCTTATTCAGATAGAGTTGTAATTACAGTGATGATCAGCTGCACCAGTGGATTTCCTGACACACTGCACAATTTATGGCACAGTACTTCTACTCAAGAAAGGTCAGACAAGACCTGAGACAGCTCCAACATGAGGCACCCCTGCTGGTTTAAGTCATGACACAGATGTCTTCTTCACAACACACCCCACAACAAGGGTTAGACCAGGACCTGTCTTCCTCATCATTGTACACTCAGGCTCCCCTCTGCCATGTATACTCATTAATTTACTCCCCCTTGGGCTGCACTGTCTATGAATATGGAACAAACAATGCTCCCAGTGCTAATTTAGTGCCCGTGATACATTCTGTCATGAAGGAAGCAAGGAGGGAGTATTGATAATATACAGTTCTACTAAGGGTGCTGCCCCAGCACTGTCTGACAGGGATCTAACCGACTTCCAAATGCTGTAGAGCACTGCATTCAGATCTGCTTTCCTTTGCTTGACATGCTCCTGCAGCTAAGTGTATTGACCACAAAACCACTGGTAGGTGTGATTATTACCAGTGGGGCAGGCAGTTTCAAAGAAAACATCAACCCAGTTCCCTGCTGATATAAAGTTTGCACATACAGGTGAGGAAAAACCAGCATACTGTGACTTAGCAAAGTGTTGGGCCACCAAAACAGCTTCAGTGCTCCTTGACATTGACTCAACAAAGTATCTGGACTCTACTGGAGGTATGAACAGCAAAAGACATTCCCCTCACGTGGTGTTTTGATGATGATGATGGTGAAGACATTGTCTAGCACATTGTTCCAAAATCTACCATTGGTTTAGACTTAGTTGAATCCTGGTGTGAAGGCCATAGCATATGATAAACATTCAGTGACTCCTGGTGTCCTGTGGCTGGGGACAATGTCATCCTGGAAGAGACCACTCATTTAGTCAGGTTTATCTTTTAATTTGTCACCTGTCTATATATTGTTCTAATGCAGTCATTCTGTAATGTTGTATTCAGTGATGTATGACTTAAAAATAAAAGTCAAAGAACAAACCACCAGAGTTTAATTAAGTAGTATGAATAAAAAAAAAACAGAGCAGGGTTGGAATGTGTCAATTTATTTTTCCCATTACTGAAAATTTTGTGACAAAGCCACTGAAAGATCTTTAACAAAATAATTAATTTCAGATCTAATGTATGTTACACAAGAGTACAACAGGCAAAGCAGCTTTGGTATTTGTAAGTGAAAAGAGTCAAGCAGCTGAGTTATGCAAAGATTTAATGTTTCTTCTGCTGTACTCGCTGCTGCTGGGCTGCCACCCTGTGACTCTTTTGGGTAAAACACATCTGGTGATCCAGATGATATTAATATTTGCCATGAGGTTTTCAAAAAATGACTTTTGAAGGCTCAAATCCATTGCTTTCCCAACCTAGATGTTAATTTCTTGCATAACTCAATTATTAGGGACCAGGCAGTGAGGCAATGAGAAAACCAAACAATACACAAAGGGTAGACAATAAATAGAAACCAAGTTAACTTTGCCCTTTGTAAATAGCTCCTTTGGATATTTCCAGTTGAGACAGTTTATAAAATATATTAACCCAAAGCTTACAGTTCCAACACTGATTCAACCCTTTTCTCCCAGTTTTAGAGTTTTAGACTTTCAAAGAGCAAGTTCAATCTTGTCCTTTTCTCAGAGACATGAGGTCAAAACAGTACTTAACACTACGGTACAATCTTAAAGTTAAAGCTTGAAATAAATTATGTCTTCATCAGAGTTGACCTTTTGGCTTATGAAATTTGAGATATTCTGTTTAGCTGCAGATTTTGGGTCAGTGGAATATGGCTGACCAGATGTTGCCCTCCTGAAGATTATCCACCCTCATTAGCCATTTCATCTTTGTGACAGTAGATCAAAGGCACCACTTATAGCCTCTAAATCTCGAAATCTTGAGTTACCTGCATCTAAATACTGTAAAAGTAATGTCAAATGCATTATTGAAAAATGCCGACCCATTCCTATAGCAGGCACAACACCCAGACACTGGTTCATTACATATAACCTCAGTGCACATGGGTATAACATTAACCTGCTGCCCTGATCACATCACACTAACCCTCTACTGAAAATAAAGGAGGTATACACTAATGATGGTCAAATAAGTCATTCTGGGGCTTTTCAACAAACCTGTTTATGCTTTTGTTTTCATGTGGACATCTCTGCTTCAAGTTTCTCACTATTCACTATGTGGCTGGTGTTCAGACATTGGAAATTTATGAACATCACATGCTAAAATATTTCCAAACACAAGCACTTAACTATTATTGTCTGCATCTGTCATCTATTCAGAGCAGGCACAAGCAGTGATCCAGGTCAAACACATTTGCAGGCCATCATCTTTTTGGGTCCTGAACCTGTTCTTCTGACCAAAATAAAACTGTCTAGCATTACAGAGGTCACAGCTAGTGATGCATTCAGGCACTCTATGTCAATTGTAAAGTCAAACATTTCTATGTTTTTAACCAAGCAGCAACCACATAGTCAAATCGTACTGTAAATGATTTGTAAATATCTGTGAAAAGCCAGAAGAGGGTTCTCAGTTCTCGAGTTTCAAGTGCTCTGAAGTTTCAGCTCAGCACAGACCAATGCACAGACTAGCAAACCATGTTAATGGGTAAAGGTAAATATTTTCATTTATTTTCTATTTTTCAGTTATGTCTTGATATTAACAACACACCCATGCTATAGCCTCTATTATTTACACACTGCAATGTTTTATTATTGGTCTGTTCCAGGTGATGAATAGAACTTTACATCTGGATGAGAACTGCCTGAACACTACGTTAAACAGCAGAACAGCACAATGCATCAAAATCAGAATCACCTTTAAGGGCCAAGTATGTTTTAACATACAAGGAATCTAATAGAAGGTACCTAATAAAGTAAGTATATGTCTTCAAGTACATCTTTTGCAGTACCGTGGTTTTGGCGGTAGATGGCGCCACTGCTGTACGGTTCCAGTTTGGAGCCAGACCTCAGTGCTCCTGCTTCCAGGTGCTGCAGTTGCGCCCTTCCGCTCCCCGTACAGGAATTTGTAGATTGCATTACGTCACTTATCCTGCCAGCGGCGAGAAGGCAGCTCCGTCCTTTAACGCTTTAGCCCGCTGTTTTTCGGAGGTGAATTAATGGGACTTGTGTGTTCTTTCCTGTCGTGTTCAGAGTTAGGAGTCTGGGAGTCCTGGCTGGACGACGGGACAAAGGGAAAGCTTGAAGCGCGACACCACAGCTCTCCTGCTTCAGTATGAAAAGTTTGTAAAAGAATCTGAATATCGACGACACTCTTAGAGAGTAGATGGAGGAACCAGAAGGTAAGAAGTATTTTAGGTTGTAACTTGACACTGAAGAGAAGAGACTTTTGTTTCCGTTTAGCAAAATGTTGTTATCGTTTTACACGATGAGTTGATACGATGTTGCAAGTTTGACACTACAGGTTTAGTGTAACGTCGAAAATACCTGCTGTTTAGCTGTGTACACTCCCTCGGCTTCTCGGTTTTTACCTATTTCAGCTTACAGTCCCACTCCAGTTTTAAGTGATTGGATGATGTCTTGCAGGTACAGACAGCTGTTGCTGTGCGGGCTGTGGAGGAGAAATTCGAGACTCCTATCACATGAAAGTTCTCCAGGACACCTGGCACAACTCCTGCTTTCAGTAAGTGCTCCAAGTTTATGACTGCAAGTAGCCTCTGTATTGCACTGTTTAGTCAGTCATAAGTGAAGGCTTGGAAATAAGAGGACGAACAGTTTGTTGGATTCATTACAAATGTTTTCACTGCTGCGCAACATGTTGACTGCTTCCTCTGTGTGGGTGTATTTACAAATGGCCTTGTGGATAATCCCAGAAGCTTCTGGCTTTTAGCCTAAACATGGGCCTAGATCTGTCTTTTACAATGCATCGTTGTTTTTGAGCTTCAGCACAAAATGTGGGATGTTTCTCCTGCTAGTGTCACAGCTGACAGGAAGGTTCAGGTCCTTGAATGTGGACTGGTCAGTGTAATGGTCCTGCTGCTTCACAAGGAGGAGGTTTCCCCTCCGCTTTGAGGTTTAGTGATTGCTACACTGGAGCTGATGTGAGCGCTCTGGTTTTCACAGGTCACTGCACCACAGTGAGGTATTTCAGTGTGGGGCTGTGAACCTGTGGCTCAGTGCCAACGTTATATAAAACTCAGATGGTTTTCCCTTGGTTAGCGGTATCATTCACTTGTTCTTGTGTGAGAGAATATGTCTGAGATTTTTAAAAACTGGCAGCTCTTCCTGATTCATCTGTTGCTGGTCAAAACTGTCAGCCATTATCTAGCAGTGTCTTTACTTAACCTGGGTTTTCACTCTTTCTAAACGCTGACAACTCTAACATACTAACACATACAGCCCCTTGTATCGTGGTGACGTAGCTGTGTTACTCACCGCTGATCCTCTCCGTCCGTTTGTACTTTTATACTCCCTCACATTTCTTGGCATCCTTCTCTAGGCTGAAAGATCTTCAGTTGCAAACTTGCAGATCCTAGATATGTTGCATGTGTGTGGGAAGCACTTCTCTACAGTAAATGTCCTGGAGTTTGACTCATGGATAAAAAATGTTTTAAATGTCTGATTCCTGCTAATATTTTTTGCAAATCTCAGATCTTTCTAAGGAAATAGCACAGCAAACACAAAATGTCCTTGTAATGGAATTCCCACCGTGGTGTTCCTGTTGCTGCCACTGTGCACTCCATCTACGTCCACCTTGTGCGCATTCTTACAACCTGACATCACTCTTGTTCCAGTAAGCCTAGCAGCGTTATTGAGGCCTATAGATAATGGCACACTGAGCTCCGCTGTCTTCTGCATTCCTAGACAGCGATTCAGACGTGTGAGTCCACTGTCTCAAGAAACCTTTGCTGTCTTTGTTTCATTTTAGTAAAGGAAGCTGGCTATTTCTTATCTTGTACTTCACTGGAGGTGTACAATGCAGCAGGAAAAGAGTCTCGTACTTCATATTTATAATACACAATGTGGTGATATTCGGTACTCTTGATCTCATTTCATTTTTCTGCAGTAAAACACGACATTGCAAATACATGAGTGTGAACTTAGAGTATATACACTATCCACAGGTACATTTTTTTACTGTGGGATCACATTTTTTAAAATTGTTTTTCTATCCAATTTTGTGACAGTAATATGAACATACACTTTACCAGTGTTTTCATTATTTTTTTAAAGGAATCTATTAATCATTCTATAAAATAATCGGCAAATAGCTGATGCAGCCTCTAATCTACTGTGATCTGAATGAAGAAATAACTGTTGCTCTCCATTTCTTGGAACGAGGTCATGGTGGAGAACACTGGGCACGAACAGTGGTCACACACCCTGAGATATGGTCTCATTAAGAGTGAAACACTCCCTCCGAAGGTCTTCGAGGCCTCTATTAACTTTCCCCCACTTACTATCAGCAATTCATTCCCCAACAATGCAATACGCTCCAGCAGGA